AAGTACAATATTGGGTATACTCAGCGATCAAATTCACCCCGCTGATCAATTTCACCCCGTTTTACGGCACCTTCTTTGAAAATTTTCCCACCTAGACGGACCTAACAAATGCGAGATAGGAAGAAGTGACCGTCGTAATTAATTTTAGGCTCATAGGTTGAAAGAACTTCAGCATGTCCAAAATATATTCGTTACCATTCAGTGTGTCCAAAATATATTATGGACACTGTCCAGAATCAAGTGGAAGGGTCCAAAATATGTGAATATCATGATGTGAAAAGAATTATTTTTCGAGTATATATCAATAAATAAAACATCCAGTGACATTTTACATCCAAGATGAGTAGCTTTCAAACTCAACCGCATGTAAATTGCATAATAATAATAAACAAATAATATTATTTTGACATAAACGTGATCTCACTTCCTCTAGGGGTCCAAAATCAGTTGGTTACCCTATTAGTCACTTTTTCATTGCTTTAAAGTCACTATTTGGTCACTATTTTCATTATTTTAGTCACTAAAGTCACTACTTTTATATTACATATCGACTACCAGCCCTGATTTCTTGATTAAATTTAAAAATCCTGGTAATTTGGAAAATCTTAGTAAGATTTTGATGGAAGGAGATGAGGAGAGTTCATCCAAATTTTAAATTTTTTTTAGTGCAGGAGCGTGTTTTGAAAAAAAAAATCATGACCCCTAAAAACTGATCTTACCAAATATCAAGTTGGACATTTTTTATCTAGTTCGTTTATTTGTAAGGCTTAATCGCGTTAATTTTACGGAGCCGATAGGTAATTGTTCTTTGCTGGTAACAAAATTCACTTAATTCTATGTCTAGTAGGAGTTGGGCCGAATACTCGTGGCTTACCCGAGGTTAGAGTGGTACATTGGATAGGAAAAGGGGAGGAGCTTGGGGGTAGGGTTTCGTTGTCTCATCAGAGCGATGTCGCCAGTATGAATGGTAGTGTGGTTCTAGATTCGTCTGGAGTTCGACCGGCTATGGTGACCAGTGGGCGACGATGAGACTTATCGAGACGGGGGAAAAGACCATCAAAAACTAATAAAGGGACACAAAAGACAAACGAATTAAATTCTTATACTAGACATTTACAGAAACATATAAATCGACTTCTAGTTGGACACTTAAACATTAAAAAACCGTACACCAACTTTTGTGAAATTCTGCTCGAAAAACCTTTTTTAGGCTATCAATATTATTTTCTGAGCAATAATTTACACCATTTGGAAATTTATAAATGGTCTAATTTTAGCTAAAATGTGAATGACAATAAACAAACAATTTTGCAGAGCTTCATGCAAGAACGCAGTAGGCTTTGCCCGCGAACGGTTGGTTTTGTCCTCGCTGGCGCTGATTTCATCTGTTTTCCGCATATTTTTTAATTGTACCAAATCAAAAAGTATTAGTTTTCGCGTGTGGATAAGCGTAAATTAAAATCTATCACGTTTCAATAACCTTTTAGTGATATTGTAATTGACGTGAAAACACTGGGGCAATAATTTGTTTCGAGTAACTGTGGTGTCGCGTTGGTCGGTTTTTCTTTTCGCTTTTTTTTGGTGCAACGCGGAAGATTTTTTCGATTACCGCGAGTGGTGCTTTTTCGGAGGCAGAATTTGGTGAGATCCATCTGATTATGAATCAATCATAAATGCATATTTCCATATATTACTAAATACGCGCCAGATTTTGAAACATCGCATTTCCAAACCTGGAAGTGTGTTTGCATTACCATTATTCATATGATAACGGTAGTGCTTACATGCGGGTCTTATTGTATGTAAAAGTAACCTCGGAATGGACGTGAATTACCAGGCACAGGGCTGGTAGCGAGTCACTTTTTACGGACTTGGTCACTTTTTTCAAGCCAGTCACTTAAAAGTCTCTTTTTTAAGGCCAAGTCACTAAAGTCACTTTTTCTTGTAATCAATCACTATTTTCAACTATTTTAGCGTGAATTTATTTCAAGATTGATCATTCTTTGCTTTGTGGCGTTTAATCGTCTTTCTCTATCTACAGGGTGTCTACTCATTTTTCTAAATAGAATTACATGAGTTTTCCAAACTTTTGCCAAAGACATGGCAATCAGTGAGAACTTTTAGCAATCAGTGATATCTTCAAGAAATTCCAGAGAACTCATTATAAATTTAGATACTTTTAGATAGTTTCATGATATTCAGCGAAGTTCCGAGTACTTCAATGGCGATCAGATAGCCTCAGAATGATACCACTAATTTAAGCAAATTTGCAGAGACTTACAAGGAGTTCCGTTATGGGGTATTCTATGAATTCTATGATTGATCGGAAAACGTCAGAAGCGTCAGGGAATTATGAATATATATCACAAAATTTGCCGGATTATTAAACAAATTTAGGTAACCATAGATAAATTCAGGGAAAATTAGTGAGTGTCTATAATGGTTATAATACTTAACGAAAATTGTCGAAACTTCAAGGCAACGTTAGAAACATTGCGGAAACTTTAGGAAGGCCTATAAAGTTCAGGGAAGTTTAAGAATTTGATGAGAAGTATTGTGAGCATCAGTGAGCATAGTTTCTCAAACTACAAAAGAGTTTTAAGGCAGTTTCATTAACTTCAGGAAAAATTTGGGAACTTTCAAGTAGTTCGGAAGACCTCAGAATTGTCTATTTTGATTTCCATTTGAATATTCCTCAACATTTCAATAAAGCTATCCTCCTAATTTAATTTTTTTTAGTTTTCCTCGGAAATTCTCCACAATAAGAAACCCTTTGAAAAAACTCTCCGAATATTCATTGAATTCGTTTCAGATATCTTTCCCTTGGAATTCTACTCACATTGAAAGTCTCCTAAGAATTCAGTGGCATTTCTCCTCACAAATTCCTTAGATTTCTTCGCATAATTTGTTTGGCAAACCCTCCTGAATTTATTTTCCGAATTCCTTTGAAGATGTTCTGGAGTTATTCTCAGATTTAATTGTAATCCTCCTTTTAGTATTTTCAAAAAGATTCCAAGGACTTATGCTCCGGATTAGTTTTCTTCCACAACTTTATAAAATTATCATCAGAAGGCCCTTGAAATTTTTCTCTGAAGAAGTTGTGCTGCTCAGAAATTTTCAGAGTTTTCATTAAAATTTGCTTTTAATTCAATTCAGGGTTTCTTCAAATTTTTGTCAAAACTTTCAGGCTTCACAAGAAATCTAAAATTCTTCAGAACTACCTTAAAAGCAGATTGCATTTGATGTTTTTCTGAAAGATCCTTTTCCCAGAACTTCCTTAAAATAAGGTCCTTAGAAATTAAAGTAAAATCCCACAAGGTTTTAAAACTGTGCATGGATTTTTACTCCAGATTCTTGAAAGTTTCTTGAAGTATTATAGCTTTTAAGTCCAGAACTAGTTCAAATTTAAAATTTCTAGGAAATATGCATGCACAGACAAACAGACATAACACTCGCAAGTAGTTTATTGAACAAGCATTTAACGATCAATTTAAACGTATCGTGGTTGGTAGTACCGCCAGTCGCCACCTGTGGCGTGCATAGTCAATTCCCTTGCGTTTGACGTTTACACACTACCGCCATCTGTTCAGCGTACTACCCACCACAGTGTATTCAACACATGGCGGTAATGTTTTAGTGACGATGTTTTAAAGTGAGATATATTCAATGTGTTATGTCTGTTTGTCTGTGATGCATGTTTCAAACCAAAAAAAATACATTTCAAGCCTCTGTTTTTTTTTTATATTTGTTACTGAATATTACTCCAATGTGGATCTATAAAGTTAAAAGTGTGAATGTAAATAACGAGAAACATTAAATGCTTGTATTTTAAAATTCATTCTTTTCTTTAAATATCCTTAGTTTTCCAGGTTTTTGCAGTTAGTAGACACCCTGACTAATACCGTGGGTTTGGCCATACACTTTCAATTGAATCTTTAATTTTAAAGGTTCATATAGTACATAAGTGTTTATGAGATACTTGGTGAATAAGTCTAAAACATCAAACATTTATTTTCTCTTAGGTCACTTTTGATTCATTATTTTTACAACTATAAGTCACTATTTGGTCACTTATTTCTTCAACATGGTCACTAAAATCACTATTTTGACACCAGTGATCGCTACCAGCCCTGCAGGCATTCTGAAATGGGTTGCTGAATCTGCAGTAGAGCTATCGCTTTCTAACTCCCGGACTAAACTTGCTTTAACCTATTACATCAAGGATTGTTGTAAGCAAATTTCTTCCATAATACCACTGCCGGCCAGTGGGGGTTAGATTGAATACATAATACACACCCAATTATGCATAGTTTCATGCAAATCGGAAAAGGTCAAATCTAGATAGAGCTGGAATTAGGGCGAAACAGCTTTTGTAAACAATGATTTCTCTCGATGATTTCTTGAAAGCCATGGCTCCTATTGGTAAATCGACATCACCATCGAGTAGGGGAAGACTTACCCTACTCGATGGATATGTTGCTTTATGTATGCGTGCCTTGAATTCCTAGAAATCATCGAGGGAAGTCATTGTTTACAAAGGCTGTTACACCCTAATTCCAGCTCTATCTAGAAGTCTAAAATTCATGATTATTTTGCTTTTTGGCCTGGAAATGCTCAATTCCTTTTTTTAATTCTTTATTAAGGAGATTTTTAGCCTATGGCTAGTTCATCTCCGAGCTCAATTCCGTCATATAATGTCTTTTGACTCGTAAGTTATATTTTAATAAACTTCACCATAAGTCCTACTAAAACGAGATCCTAGGGAAAGGACCGAGCCCGGAATACCCGTTTACGTTACAGTGCCACTTTGCTAAACTCGAAATCAAGACAAAATTAAAATAGTAAAGCATTGTTATTGATCCGTCGAATACAGCTAATTTGTACTCCGGTTGCTCACCAAAAACCAAAAAAAAAATACCCAAGTAAATGAAACTCAAACCAACTAAAACAATTTGCTGCTCTTCTACTCTCCCACCCCTGATAAAAATCCGAAACTTCAGGTGCCAGTGAAATCATGGTTCGACGACACTAGTGATTCGGAACTGTTAGATCTAATACCGTTGTTTGAGAAGCTGAGTAAGGTCGACTCTGTATATACCGTATTATGTAACTCCAGTTCGCAGTCCCAGCTGCAGGCGTCGCTACAGCAGCTGCAACATCAATCCAGCCAGAATCATCTGCTCCCAAGCCAGCAACAGCAGCAGCAGCAACAACAACAATCACAGTCCAATTCGACCGATGTAAACAACACGTAACATTGGCAACGAATGTTTGTCAAAATTATATGATTAATTTAAAACAGAAAAAAAAAAATAACAGAAAACAGTTTTTATCAGTTGTTTATTATTAATATTATTATTTTAAAAAATGTTTTAAATTAAATAAAACTTATTTAATAGGCCCCGCAAATTAGGTTTTTTTTTCGAAAATGGCAAAGCGATTTATGTGCAACAAATTATTTGTGAAAAGCTAGGAGATTTTACAAAACAAAAAACAAATTGATAATTACCCATTTTATTAGGCAAAATCGAATCGGGAAACAAATTAATTTATATACCACGAGATAGTAGTATATGTATGTATGCAATGCATGATTTTGAGGTAAAAAGAAAAATAAATAAGCTACGCTTTCTGCTTACTTTTTGGGGACATCTACACTGTATTGTTTGGTTTCTGTAATACACTGCCTCTCGAGAAGAACACAGGTTAAGCAAAAAGGAGTGGAGCAGTGTTGGGCGAATGTAGTCGGCGATGATGATGATGCCAACCGTGGTGAACAGCGATTGGCGCGCTACGATGAGTAATCAAACGGTGGAAGACAAATAGAGTTAGCGCGATCAGATAGCGATAGGGAACAATGTATATCATCGTACATATCACCACTTCGTTTATACACCAAACAAACAGACACACACACACATACATACAGCACATCCGTTACTAAAGTGGCTGAAATTGTTGTGTGTTGAGTAGAGGATAGAAGGGAATTAAATAGGTTTTCTGCAAGTTGTTGTACCGAATTGTAGGATTAGTGCAAAGACAGGGACAGCAAAGCCGTTTGATGAACGATCGTAGCGTGCGTAACGTTCTTTGTAGGGTTGGCACTTGGTAGGAACGTGAGAAAGTGAATGAAGTCATTTATTTACGGTGCTTTTTTGTTGGTGGAAAACTCTGATGAAACAGTCATTTTTTAGACGTTTCTTCGGTTATTCTGATAGTTAACCGAACGTTGGAACCCTTTAGGTAGTAGGGGAATTTACGTATTCTCGGCAACCTAAGCAGCGACCTTCTTTCTATAGCCTTTTTCTCTATGGAACGCACACATACTCAGTATTGGTTTGTTTACAATCTTTTGCTGCCAGCTGCTCTAACAATTTCAGTCAAAAGAATTGTCAAAAACTGTTTTGAAACGCTTTTACAAAGCTCCAATCTTCTCTAGTGAGAGCGAGTATTGTCGGCAACCAGTTTTTCTTCGCCAACCGTTCCATTTGAACTGCATGTAAATCTGCTGTTCTATTATCGGCAACTCGAAATCAGCTACAATTTGTAGTGCGTGTGTTGCATTTCAAGAAAACTTTGCTAGATTGCTTTTTCTCAGTGGTAAAAATATAGTCAAATTGAAGCTGAAAGCATAAAGAATCGTTTGCATGCATTCAGCGAAATTTTTTCGTAAGAAAATCCAGTGAAAATAGTGTTTCAATTTGGGTTTCCGAAAATAGTCTGTCATGCCGAAGCCGTCATTTCCCCTATCTGTTTTTTGTGAGTTTATGACTGTAAAAAATCATGTTTAAGTTTTAAGTTTTGATTGCAAACATTACTCACACCATCTGCCAAAATTCAAACGTTCAGTTTCCCCGTGGCACTCACATTTAACGTATTCTGTGCGTAATATTTGTAAATATTTCAACCATTTCCGAAGTAGGTTTTGTTTTCAGTTATCATTGTGATCTTTTTAAGAATTTCACCAACAGAAACGTTTGACTGTTGATTAGAGAGACGCGATGCAATACCAACAATCAGAGTCGGAATAATGAGTTACCGAGTCGAATGATTTGAGCAATAACAAAGAAAACAAGAAAAACATCATTCTATTTTCTTTAAAATACGAACATCTTCGTTCAGAGTGGCTAAAGTGAAGTGTTCCTTAAAAGTGATTTTGTTGCATTTATTCAACACTGTTCTACTCCATAACAAGAAGCATCAACAAGCAACAAAAATTGACCACTAGTCGAACCTATTAGGGAAAAGGAATTGATACAACAACAAAATTTAACCGATCTGTAAGTAGATAGCTAAAGCGAGAGGGAAATATGAAAATCTCTTACTCGAAAACCTTGTTCTAAAAAACAACAGCAAATCAAAAATCAAAGCACATACACGCAAGAAGGATGCTGCAGTCCGTTTTGACTACCAAAAGCAGAAATACAAAACTACACGAATTGATGCTAAATTGATTACTACTGCAACTGCACTACAACAACTATTACTAGCAATTTTCTACCACACTACTACTACTACTACTACCTCTATCGTAGACAAACCTGGTCCAATACATTTCTCAAACGCAAAAAGCTTTGTCCGCAAACAAACAAACAAACAAACAAAAGAAATCTTCAATCAATCGGGAAGTTGTTGCATACTTGTTTCTGTTTTGTTTTTGCAACTTGATTGTTCGAATGGAAAGAGAGAGAGAGAGATAAAACACAACACTGTTGCATTTAGCTGAATGACGTTTTGATTACTTTTCGCTTACTTTACGTAGATCATAACAACTGAATTGGTTCCCGTGTAGTATAACATACAAAAACGCGCCGTTCAACTTGTCGTCGATATTTTGATACATCTATGCATGTGAATGATGACGTGTTGTGTGACGGTAACATATTTGAGTAAGTAAGCAAACAATAACTGTGTCGCAAATCAGGCTACAGCGTGTGAGGAAGAGAAACAAACAAAACTTTGAGAGAAACGCATAGGACGATGGGAGTTTTCCCATACACATTTTTGTAAGTACTTTGGTCAGTGAGTGTCCAAGCAGGAGTGACATTCTAGCTACTAGTGCAAACAGATTGAAAACAGTGACGAAGGAATAAAGTATATATTTTTTATATACACATATGAAAGGAAATGAAAATAATAAATTGTAGTAAGAAAGTAATAGAATAACAAAACAAAAAAAAAACGTAAAACAACTTATAACAATACATTGATAAGCTAAATTATACAAATCAAATCACACATTGTGTATTTTAATACAACAAACAGATTGTCTGTAAAATTTGTACCATACTAGAACAAAGCAAACACAAATAAAAACGCGTGGCAAGCGATTTGATACCCACAGATTGCACACACACACACACACACACACACACACACACACACACACACACACACACACACACACACACACACACACACACACACACACACACACACCAAGAAAGCAAAGCACTCACCGCAGAACGAGTGCGTGCATTAGTGTGCGAGCTACCGCGAACAATAGAACCCACTTTTTTGTAAGCGTAGGTATATGAAACTTTCTACAGAAAGCAATGAAAGTGATCGCGAGCGTGAATATGTCTGTGCATGTGCATGTGTATTGTTGCAAAAGATAAAAAAAAAGCACATGAGAAGCAAAAAAAACCAACAAAATCAATATAGTAATAGAATCAATAAAGTCATGGAACTAATTTTCGTAAAAAATCATAACGAAAAAAAAAATCAATCGAACGAGTGTCTGTTTTGCTATCGACGCATTGCCGTACGTAATAAAAAGATGAACACGCGAAATGAAACGAATGAATGGAATTTGAACGACCGCAAGGAATGAACGGGAACGGTTAATCAGTTAAAAAGAAGCAATCACAATCGACCATAGAAGAACGATTGAAAGTCTTATTTTCCTTCTGTTGTAGTATTAAGTTTTTTTTTCTCCAGCTGTCAAATCCTTAGTTGTTTTTGTTTTAACATATTTAGCTTCTGAAAGATTTGAAGCATCTAATAGACGGTACTAAATTTGCACAAAGTGTATTTTCAGTTGATGAAAAATGCGTATATTGGAAGTTTGCTGCAACGATTTGAAGATTAAACAGATCGAAAAGCCCCGAAAGGTGGCACCACTACAACAGTACTTTATTTCTGAACATGATTTTACCGTTATTCGTTTCGGTTTTATTTAACGCATGAAACAAATTTGAAGCGAACCGTTTGAAAATTACATTACAGTTCTCTCCCCATATTAGAATACATTAAGAAGCTAATGTTAAGTAGTCAAAAGTTGCATACAAAAATCAAACAGTAATTGGTTTGATCATTTTTCTTCCGGTGCAGAATCATGCATCCTAGAGTGCCCAATTTTGCATTGTGTCTAGTGAGAGGGAAAGAGATGAAATTGGGTTCATGATAAGAGAATCCGTACGTCTCGATGGTCAAAATTGAGGGAAAACATTCGGTTTGAGCACGTATTTATTTTCGCTGAGAGGAAAGCAACTTCCAGAGTGTGGAAGGTTAAACTAATATTGCAAGGAATAAGAACACACACACACACACACACCTTCATATACAGAGAGATGCAAAGAATCAAATATTATTATTTTATTTTTTTTTATTTAAGCATTTATGTATTTAAGCACAACTGGAAAATTGAGAAAAATGCGTTATAATATATTTCATTTGATTAGTATGAAGTTTTTTGTTTGGCCTAGTTTTTGTAATTTTTTTTGTTAATTTAGCTTTGTTGGAACGACCTAGAAATTGAAATGCCAGTGATGTATCACAACTTCCCTGTTTACGATGACAAAGTTATATAATTATTTGACCAAATGAACAATTTTTTTTTAATTTATTAGAACAAATCAGAAAATGCCTTCGCAACTTACCCTTTTACCACAGACAAACAGACACAACACTCGCAAGTTGTTCATCGAACAAGCATTTAACGGACAATTTAAAAGTATCGTATGTAGTTGGTAGCACCGCCATCTGTGGCGCGCATAGTCAATTCCCTTGCGTTTGACGTTTACACACTATCGCCATCTGTTCAGTGTAGTGGCCACCACAGTGTACTCAACAGATGGCGGTAATTTGTTTATTTGTTTATTTGATCACCATCTTCGACTACGTCGTACAGACTCATTACTTAAAACCTAATTTAATCTAAACGCCTTATTCTAGCACTAAACACATGTTTGGTCAAAATAAAATCAAACTCGCTACAAACATCATTAAAGGAACGCAAACAAGAATTAAAACAATTATTGAATCCAAAGTTCGTTCTGTGAAAGGGAATTGCAAGTAACGGGGAATTACGGAATCGTCGAGGAGGAGTATTCCATGGAATCAGTTCCAGAAGTTCAGGACAGTCCACGTTTCCTGTTATGAGGTCAAAGATAAACAGTCGTTGCAATTTGAGACGCCTGGCAGAGAGGGATTCCAAATCAATCAGCTTGCATCGGTCGGGATAACTTGGAAGATTGACTGGATCATTCCAGGGGAGCTGACGCAATGCAAACCTTATAAAACTTTTCTGAATCCTTTCAACCGCAAGGATGTGCGTAACGTAAAATGGAGACCAAACCGGGGAAGCATATTCTAAAATGCTGCGAACCAGCGAGCAGAATAGCGTCTTGAGACAATAAACATCGGTGAAACCAGAAGCATGACGACGAATAAAACCAAGCACAGCAGTTAGCAGTTACGATGTTTATGTGTTCGTTCAGACTATCACACGATGTATATCTTCTTGCAACGTGACACAGTCAGTGGGAGAAACAATCACACGGAAAAATTTTAGATCATCGGCAAAAGAAAGTTTGGATGATGAGAGCATGTCACACAGGTCATTAACATAAATGATAAAAATAAGAGGACCGAGAACACTGCCTTGTGGCACGCCAGATGGTATGTTGAAAGTCCTGGAGCGTGCGAAATTCACCATCACGAAAGCATTGCGATTAGACAGGTATGAATAGAGCCATTCAGTGATCCATGTCGGAAATCCAATGTGGTTCATTTTGGCAGCGATGAGATTGTGCGGTACTGTATCAAACGCTTTCGCAAAATCAACATAAACCGAATCCACTTGTTGCTTCGATTCTAAGCTACGGGATATCGCTGATACATAACACATTGGGTTCGATGTTGTTGAACGATGCTTCATAAAGCCGTGCTGACTGTTGGAGATGATCGGTGCAGCAGCTCTGTACAAAACGGTGTGGATCAGTTTCTCAAATACCTTACTGACACTACAAAGTATAGATACACCTCGATAATTGGTGACACACTTGTAGCTTCCGGATTTATGGATCGGTACTATGGACGCCATTTTCCATGCATTTGGGAACGTTCTGTCTTGGAGCGAACGGTTGAAAACAGCAGCGATGGGCG